GGTTCAAGCCATACTCCTGCCTCAGCCTCCCAAGTAGCTGGGACTATAGGTATGTGCCACCTCACTCAGCTAATTTTTTTTCTATTTTTTTTTTTTCATGGAGATGGGATTCTCACTGTGTTGCTCAATCTGGTCTCGAACTCCTCGCCTCAAGTGATCCACCCAAAGTGCTAAGATTTTAGGGGTGAGCCATCACACCCAGCCACTTCATCCCTTTTTATGACTGAATTCATTATATGAATATATAACATTTTATTTATCCACTCCTTAGTTTATGAGTGTTTGGATTGTTTCTGTTTTTGGTTATTATGAAAAATGCTGCTATAAACATTAGTGTACAAGTTAGTGTGGGAACATATATTTTTAAGCCTCTTGGTATATCTCTTAGGAGTGGAATTGCTGGGTCATATGGAAACTCTATGTTTAACTTTTTAAGAATTGTTGGACTGTTTCTGCGGTGGCTATACCATTTTACATTCCCTCCAGCAATGTATGAAGCTTCCAATTCTTCTGTATCCTCACCAATGCTTGTTACTGTGTTTAAGATGGGATATTAGGTTATTGATTTAAGATCTTCTTTTTTAATGTGGGCATTTATAGCTATAAATTTCCCTCTGAACACTGCTTTTGCTACACCCCATAAATTTTGTTATGTTGTGTTTTAATTCACATTTGTTTCAAAGTATTTTCTAATTTGCCTTGTCATTTCTTCTTTGACTGATTGGTTAAGAGGATGTTGTTTGTAAATTTTCTTGTTATTGATTTATAATTTTATTCTATTGTGACCAGAGAAGGTGCTTGTATGATTTAAATCTTTCAAAATTTACTGAGACTTGTTTTTGGCCTAACATTGGTCTATCCTGAAGAATGCTCCACTCACATATGGAAGCATGTATATTCTGCTGTTGTTGGGTGGAGTGTTCTACATGCATCTGTTGAGTCTAGTCCATTTATGGTATTGTTTAAATCTTCTATTTTATCATTGATTTTATGCCTGGTTGTTCTATTCATTATTGAGAATAGAAGCCTGGGCAAAATAGTGAGACCCCTAACTCTACAGAAAAAAAAAATTAATAAAAGTATTAGCCAGGCATTGTGGTGTGTACCTATAGTACTAGCTACTTGGGAGGCTGAGGCAGGAGGATCACCAGAGTCCAGGAATTTGAGGTTACATTGAGCTGTGATTGTACTACTGCACTTTAGCCTGAACAACAAAGTGAGATTCTGTTGCTATTAAAAAACAAAAAAGAAAGAAAGAAAAAAAAAGAAAAGAAGAGAGAGAAGAGAGAGAGAGAGGAGTATTGACATCCTCATCTATTATTATTGTACAACTATCTATTTTTCCTTTCAATTCTGTCAGTTTTTGTTTCATGTATTTTGGGACTCTGTTGGTAGATGCGTATGTGTTTATAATTATTATATTTTCTTGATGGATTGATACTTTTATATTTACATTATGTCCATTTTTGTCTGTCATAACAATTTTTGTCTTAAAATCTATCTTGTCTGATATTATTAGCCTCTTCAGCTCTCTTTTGGTTTCTGTTTGCATGGAATATCTTTTCCCACCCTTTAACTTTCAACCTATTTGTGTC